CCTTATAAATTCAGTACATGAGGTCTGAGAGTTGGAATTAACCTAATTAAATAATATACCTATACATTAGGATTGAATGGAATTGAGTTGATGCTGAACGTTTTTGTTGTCGAGTAATCACTACATAAAACTAGTATAAAGCAAAGTCGCTTTTTCTGTCCCTTTGTCCCTTTGTACGCTTTAATCTCTGAAACTACGCAACGGATTTTGATGCGGTTTTTTTTAATAGATAGAGTGATTCAAGAGGAAGGTTTATATGTATAATAACATCTACTAAATAGTGGAGAAGTACTGTTATTTTTGAGGTTTCTAATGTGATGTCGTAAATAATTACATTTTTTCCGCTTACATTGCAAACGCAGGCTGAACCCTACGAGTTTCATCAAAATAATGTACTAAGTATTGTACACATTGAAAAGGTCTACAGAAAAGTCCGTGATGGTATATGTCTATCTCTTATGGATAACCCACAATAACTTTTTTTTGTCATTTACTTTTTGCGACAAATAATGGCTAATTTTCGAAGCGATTTTAACCCATACAACATTAATCCTTAACCAATTAAATACCTTGAATACATTGTTCATTTAATATAGATATATATGGCCCTTACACCGTATGATTTAAGTGAATATTTTCGAAGATATTACAGATTTAAAAATTGCGGGGCGTAGCGTTTGCGGCGTGCGAAGCCGGGGCGGGTCGCTAGTTAAATATATTCTAAACACAGGAATTTTCATGTAGAAGTTTTATAAATTCATATCACACTTCATCGAGTGTCATCCCCTGCCCTTTTCACATAGAAAGCTGGGAATTTCTATGCCTAGGCAGGCAATTATGTCAATAAGATGTTCTCTGAAGAATTCAACCAATTACCTAAAATACTCGAAGATGGATAAATTTGAGATATGCTTAGAGCATTAAATTTTATACAACATTCACGAAAATTTCAATTAGTTATTGCCTGGTCTAATTCAAAAATATTGTATCCTTCGATGATATTTTAATGATCTATGGGATTGAAAATTCTAGAGTATTTCTAAAATAAATTTTTAAATAAATCATCTTTGTAAACAAAACCCTAGTGAAATTTCTTCGGAGGATATCAGCACAATTTGATTAAGGTGAACTATATATAACTGATGTTTATTACTGATAATAATTACTCATGGTGATTACGGATATTACAGCAACATCGACTTGGTTGTGGTACAACTCACATTCAGCCTGCTCGATTGTCGGACTTAAACTCTTTAGGTTATTTCGTAGTCGGTTATCGGACTCATTCCTTTACACTATTTGTATAAGTACTGAGGCGGATAATTATAAGAGTACTTATACTTATTTGAAGAGAATTTTCTGTTTGTTAAGACACTTTACATATACCTACTTAATAATGAACCAATATTGTTACTGTCGAAGATCTAGTTCGACTTAACCGTTGACAAAGATAATAAATAATGGAATAAAAATTCTGTAATATTTCGTTTCAATATGGAGAAATAACCCATAGTATATTGAAACATTTTGTATAGTACTTATAACAGGTTTCAACAATTATCTGCAGATGCTCAGTATCGTACAAAAATGATAAATAACAAAATTGTTGATATTTTGCATAGAAAATGAGGGGAAAATGCGACTGAAGTGCCGTGAAGTGACAAAGTGTACAGGAAGGAAATTTTCCTAAATTGCAGATTATTTTGCCTTGGTAATAATTGTTTCCGTTTTTCATATCGAAATATTTTAATATGTTGCGAATTATGATTTACGTTATTTTCCTGCATAGCTATATTTCCCGGCATATATTCAAAGCATTAAATATTACGTCTCTCTCAACCTTCTCACAAAGAACTTCGTTTCAAGTAGACTCATCCAGGAAATGATGGTATTTGAGGTTGCCATTCATTTTCAATTCTGGTTACTCTTCTTCCTGGTCAATTTTCTGCCTTCCTCGCTTAACATGATTTCATAAAATTTCCTCATACTGGAATTTATTATATGAAAACGAAGGTTTCATTTTAGCTAAAACGAAACGCTGAGTTCAACATTCTTTTAATTTGGTTCCTTATTTCGAATTCATTTGACTGTATTTAATTTGAATTTATTTCGATAAGGGAATTTTCAAGTCATCACTGCAGCGAAAATTGTGAAATTTGAATATTTCTTGGCTTTCTTATCAGTGTATTTTCACAAGCATTTTTGTTAGGCGCGTATATAAAGAATAAAGATATCTGTGTTTTTCTCCAAACGTTTATTCAAAGAAATCAGTCCTTGTAAACCTTTCTCATAACCAGGTAATCAAAGAAACTTGTTTAACATTTTATTTTAGTCATTATAGTTACGTAAAATTTATTTGTTATAATAAACTAATAAACTTGCAATAATATCTGCAACTGCAATAAAATTAGGCAGTACCTACCTAGAGAAATTTATATGGTAGTTGCTAAGTAGTGCCATTCTGAACCCCTTTGCACATTTAGAACCGGAAATTCAGAATGCTTAGGGATTTCTATTATTATTATTTAGATGGGGTATAAATTTTAAAAATTTCCTTTGAAATAGCGGTTTCAGTTATTCTTTAAAATTTTCACCATTCCCAACTTATTTATACATACATACTAGCGCGCACAAATACACATACACAGATATATGTAATCCTAAGATTTTTTGATATTAACATAACATAACATAACATTTAACATAATAATAGCACTGAATGAAATATTTTAAAAAATGTTAGGACTGCATGGTTTGAAATAATTAAATATTCCCCTAATAAGCACGATAAGCTGAATTTTAATAAAATAATTGAAATGAATCGTCAAAAATTATCTTTACTCATTGTTGCATTACCTATAAGAATTTATTAGCATTGTCAATTCTCAATTGGTCATCCAGGGTCATTACTTGAATTTTGAGGATTTGCATCTCCTCAAAAAGTTGCAAGCAATTACTTAAGTTAGGTACTCTCACTCCAGTTATTAGTAGAGCCTTTGAAAAATTTACGTTGAGGAATATATAGATGATGTTATCGTTTGATTTCTGTAGAATCCCTCTCACACATAAACTATGACAAGCATACACAGTCAAACACACATACAAACACGTACACACACACACACACAAACACGCGCGCGCATATATATATATATATATATATATATATATATATATATATATATATATATATTTCACAAATATTTGTGAAACATTAAGCCAAGAGTTTGATTGAAATTTTTATTGAAATCATGTTTAACCAAGAGATAAGCAAGAATGCAAGAATTCTCAAGAATTCAATCTCAGTTTTAATTTTATCAAGAGCAGAATTCGAAATTTTTGTATATGGAAGTAGGATTGTGAATTGGAATGTGGATTATGAATATAACGTTCTTATTTATTGAATATTACTTATATATTCTAGTAGACGCAAGAAAATAATATTGTAATTCGAGCTATCCGATGTTGATTTATATTTGAAAACAATAAATCTGTTCTTATTTTTTCTCATAGGTAGTTAGTATTAATTCGTTAATTGATAAAATTCGGAAATTTAGAAAATTTTATATGAAACACTTCTTAAATATTACTTAATAGATGAGTGTAGTTTTGTCAACTTAAAAACTTTTTCAATCGTTGTAACATGTTTTACTATGATCTTCTAGATAACTTGTATTATTTTTAAATAAATTGTTTACTTTAGAATGAATTCGTCTAGGAATAACCTGAAAATTCGTTATAAAGCAACATAATACTATATAGAAAAATTAAAATTTTTGTTTTATTCTTTGTATGTTTATGTTTTGTATGTCATCAGAAGTCTATTAAAATTATTTTATCATTGTTAACTTGTGAAAAAAATTGTATTAAAAAAAGCAATAAACACAATTCACAATTAGGCTCGTGAAAATTGTTATTATTGAGGATAGAAAATGTCAACTGGCTTATTTCAATACCTAGAACAAGAAGATATTAATACCAACAATACCTAATAGCAAGAATCCGTATTACAGCTGTGTTTTACTAAAAACTACCTCAACACACATACTGAGACACATATTATTACAAATTAACACACGAAAAAGACTTAAAGACCAACCAAGAATTGAAACAATCTATGGAAATACATAAAATAAAAATTCGCGAATAAAATGACGAATAAACTGAAAAGCGGAGTAATCCCACTGACGTACTGCATGGAAACCGACCCACCATAAAATAATCTATGTATATAAATTTTTATCAACTTACCGTATGAACGTTGATAATCGGGTTTCGTGTTAGCGGCCATTATTATCGGTTCTGTGTGTTTATCAACCACTATCAAAATAGAACTACACACAATAAGCGACTTGTCCCGGCGCACAGAAAACAGAGCTCAGTTGTCGTCCGTAGGGAGCACAGTCTGTGTTTTTCGGAGGTTCGCCTATTGCTATACCGACTTAAGTCCTTCGCGAAGGAGGGGATAGGGGCTCCGCGTGAGGTGGTGGGGGAAGGACGCTCCGTGCTATTTGTTTTCTTCTATGGTGGACACGCGTAAGTAGCTTTTATTCATTATATTCTCGATGCGTGACGTTTACGACTTAAATTGCGCATCCCTCCCTTTCGTAGGTTATGCTACGTACCAAAACACGATTGATGGATTCATTATTTATACCTTAAAGATACATTAGGTATATTATTTGTTTATTTTAATATTATTTTTTTAGGATTTAAAAACATTGGCATAATATTCCTAAAAATATATTGTTAATAAAATATATGATTAAATTAAGATGAGATGAATAAAAGTAAAACAACATATTCAATAAATTTTCAATGAATTAATTCAATAAGATAGTTTCATAAACATTTTAAAAATTAGGTATTAAATAGGTGATATGACAATAAAAAATAGATACATTTTTCAGTAGTATAATCTATATTTATATTCTGTCAAGAATAACAATTTATTGAGAACTAGATTGGGAAGATATAAAATAACATTCAAGTTAGCTTTCGCCTATCTCCGTGGCTCAGTCGTTAGAACACCCGACTATGATGCGGTAGAACTCGGGTTCGTGCCCCGCTGTAGGCATGGATGTTTGTGTATGTCCTGATTTAAGTAGTTTAATGAATGATATATGCTGGGTAATATACTCTGATTACAAACCCAATGGCCGTTCGGAAACGGCGTTAAACTGTGGGTCCACTGAATTAAAAAAAAGTTTGCTTTTATTCAGAATTGAAATAAGTTCTTTAATGTTTTAAACTGAAACATGTCGTGTAAGAAATATTGCCAGAATATTTAAAATCATATTTTAGCAAAACAATTTTCAGTGTTATCAATATATAATACACAATATAATGAAAGTATCGACTAGATATAACAACAATTTTTTTTCAAATTGAAATACAAATGACTATTCAACAGTTGAATTATATGAACAGTTTGTGACAAGCATTTTGTAAATATATGATTGAAAAATGGAGTTTTAGTTGTATCAAAAAAAATATTTTTAGTCTTATGGTTGGAAAGTGAAAATTATCTTGATGAAATTATTATGATAAAAATTGTGCTACACTGAAACGAAAAAGTTTTTGAGGTCATTAGATAAGTAGGTTATATGACTTGAACAGTTTAATAAAAAAATATACGAACTAAGTTATAACGCTATACTTATTCATTATGTATTTTCCTGTAATTGGGTAGTTACCTGTTGAAAAAATATAATTATTATCGTAATATTAACACTGAAATTTTACGAAAATTGGAAATTACAAAGTCATTCGTTAGATGGATATATTTTATCCTTACAAAAACAACATACATAACTACTTATTGTCAAGGTAATAACCAAATGTGTATAAAATTTCGAAAAAGTTTTTTTACTTTAAGAATAGGTAGGCACGTACCTTTATAGATTAGCAAATTTTTCAAAACTGAATCGAAATCAGTAAGAATTTACATTAACCAGATATATCAGTGAATAATTTTCACTGAATATTAAAATCAATTAAAATCCAAGAGAACAAAATCATTCAATAAGTACTATGAAGTTGATATTTTTTTAGAACAGAGCTACAACCCTTGTGGAGAATACTATTGATATACTATTGTTAAATATTATATCAGTAATATTGAATAATAACTATTCTGAATGTCTCGAATATATTTCCTGTAATGCAGATATGATAAATAAAGTTGATATGAATGTTGACTGATCTCTTGCTGTAACATTGTTCAACATATAGAATAAAAACACTCAGCTAGGTTCCAGAAAACTTAAATTGATTGCTTTACTATTGCTTCAGGGTATTCAACACCCCAATTACAACCGGTTACACCAATATACAATTCTTTCGGTGTAAGACCCCCAAATAATCGGAAAATATAATTTCTGGTGTTTTCTATTCGATAGATATGTTTAAGGTAGTCAATTTTTTAATATATGTGTAAATCTTTGTTTAGCAATTGTTTTACAGTTTGTAACGTTTGTCAATGAAAGAAACTAACATGGACTCAATGAAACAACTTCCATTGATATTATAGCAACAATTTTAAAAGATTGAGCTGAAAATATGAGAAAGTATAAGGGAGACAATTTCACTGCAAATGTAGTTGAAACTATGTTGAATACGAAAAAATATATGAACGATTTTAAATGGATAATTGATTCATTTGCCAATCCAATATTTTCAGTTTGAACCCAGGAAATTCAAGATCAATATCATACGATAAGTCCGGGGGGGTTGGGGATGGTGAAATGGCCCTAGTATCTTCAAGGGCTTCTTGTAGAAAAATCATGATGAATTCAAAAAACATTTTAATCACAAACGAAACTTTAATTAGATCTCACAACAAATCTTAATAATAATCATTATTCTGTAAGCATTTGAAGAAGTCGTTTGTAACGACGAATCGCGTCATGCTATGTAGTCAATAAAGTGTAAGTCATAAGTTCAAGTGTTTGAATTTAAGTTTATATTCAATAATAATCAGCCTTAATCAATGAAAGTAGTTCATCACACCCGGACCTCTCCCAGAGTGTCCGGGTGTGATGGCCGTAGATGTCGGGGGAGTTGGCCAGTGCTTTTTTCTCCTCTTTCCTTGCCTTTGCCATGCATTAACTCCTTTTTGTTACTTATTACCGCAATTGGATCACATGTCTTCATACGGCGTACAATTTTCGTGCGTCCACAGCATACAAATATTATACTGCAGCCAGTGTTCGACAAGTGCTGTCTTATAATAGTTTTCACCGCAGCCTCTGCAGTTATCTTCTTCTTTATCTTCATTCTCACGTTCAGATGTATCGCAGAGAGCCATCGGAACTTCTACTGTCACAAGTCCACCACAACCATCACAACTACTGTCTGAGATCGTGCGAATAGCTTTACGTTTCCTAACAATCTGGCTTTCGTTAAGTTTATCAGTCCTTGTTTCTTGTTTTACCATCTTTGACCTCCCACACTTTTTTCTTTTTCTATTGAAATATTAAATGCTTACTTGTTTGGCACGTTTACGGATTTCGATAAGTTTTTGCGGCAGTGGTGATGCTTCATGCAGTACTCTAGTCGGTGTAGGTTTGTCACATTATGTTTGAGTTTTGGAAGTGCTTGGACCAGTTGATTGTGTCGTCCCTGTAAGGTCTTTGTAGTGACTTTCAACTGGTGCTTCGGTTTTTCCTCCAAAGGCGTACTCGGGCATGAATCCTGGATTTAATGAGAAAACTCCAGTGGCTCTAAATCCTGATATTGCATTTTCACTAGTGGCTGATTTACCCCAAGCTTGATTTAGCAAAGAGCCCAACTGATGTCTTGTTAAACGACGTCCCGGATGCTGTTTCATCCATAATCTGCACGACTCATAGAAATAAGTTTTGAGAAATTTAAAAACAGCAACATGTAGCGGCTATAGATAGTGTGATGTGTGACTTGGCATCGACAGCAGTATGATGTCATTCGTGAACTCAAGCATCTTTACAGAATTGCAATGTGCAGAAGAATGTCTATCAAGCAGAAGAAGCATTTTTCCAGATGGTTTCCGAGGCAAAAAATTAGTTCTCATCCTCATAAAAATATATCTGACGTTATGTAGACACATTTTTGTGACATAAAAATCTGTGAACCTGGAGGCAAGCCATCTAAAAATTCAGGTTTTTTCTTTGACCTTTCCTAATGCATGCAGGAGGCAAAAGTTTCCTTCCGCATTTCAACACCCTATGATAGTTATAGTTTTCCTTTATTCTGTAGAGGTAGACATTGCTACAGCTTTGGAGCCCTTTTCAGCTAAAACATGTCCTGGACGATTGTTCAGTTGTAAGCCAGTCTCGTCCATATTAATAAATTCGCTGGTTTTTCAAGCAAATAATTTTCACGGATTATTTTCCCAAACATCTCGAAATAAGCACTTAATTCTGATCTATTCATTCCTTGACTTCTGGTGTAGGAGACTCCTCCTGATTTTGTCAAGGAAATATCAGGATTTCTATTTGAAAATAATTATATCCAATCATAACCTGCCTTCTCAGATAACATATTAAATCGATATTTCATTTCCAATTGCTCAGCAAATTTAAACGCAATTCTTCTTAAGTCGTCATTGGTCAACGGAAACTCTTTAGACTTCATTTCTTTTATGTGTTTACATAGCCTCTTTTCGCTGTCAACGCCAAACGTAGGACCAATGGGTCCACCAATTGGTCCCTTAGTAAAATTATTCAGTTTAAGCCTGCTTTCTACCGTTTTTCTCGCGATATTGTATACAATAGAGGCTCTGTATACTATTTTGTACTTCGGCCATGGCTTCTTCATGCCAGGTACCTCTGCCAGCTACTACCTTCCTCACGTATTTTTAGGCATCTGCAAAAAAATAGATTAATTAGGTAATGTATTTTTGTACACAAAACATTTAATGGCTATCTCCCCCGAAAAAATATGACCGTCTATCCCATTTGTCCTGGAGATATGGCCATATGAATTAAAAAAAGAAACACGCCATTTTTACAATTCACTTTTAGGTTAGAATAATTCAAAACTCAATTACTGCACAATAACAGTGCAAAAACAACAACATCTTGAAAAATCTTTTTGTGGCCACATAATATGTTAAACCCTTACATTATAACGAACATTTAATAAACAAACGAAGTGGAATTTTCTTATTTTTTCATAATTTTTTCCAAAAATCTCCCAGAAACTTCTCGCCGACTAAAAACAATGTGTACTACATTATTAATAGCAACATCTGTCCATTATAAGTAGAATTTTTTTCTATTAGCCATCTCCCTCGGAATTATCCTACATATATTACAACATGTATACTTAAATTAATGAAATTTTTATTAATCTAATTTTCTCAAAAAAGATCAGGCCGCTTAGATGGATCTATATTTCATTGATGTGGCTACATTTAGGTGGATCTATATTCTTATTGATCTGGACGCTAAAGTGGATCTTCATTTTAATTGATCTGGCCGCTCACTGGTAGGTACCGACTGTATAGTCGGTACCTACTACCTGTAGGTAGGTACCTGTATAGGTACGTATACGAAAAATTGTAATGGTTACACAACTTAAACTACAAATCGAGTCAGTATGACAGAATGAGTAGAATTATTCAAAATATCAAAATGATACTTTGTAATTCTGCATCAACTTATCTGTGTAGAAGCCATTAATGTGAAGTAGATACTCATAGTAATACTATTGATAATAGGTATCATAGAATTATCCCTCAAATGAAAGCCAAGTCCTTGAAATTGAAATATATTTTGTGAGATTTACCTAATTAAAGTTCACTGCTTGTTAACGAAAAGTACCCTTTCGAATAATTCATTTCCATGATTTGCATACCTATGAATATATTTCTGCTGATACATTCGATAAATTCTTATCGCTCATTGTTTATTTTGAAAGTAAAATTTATGATTATATTTCCTCTTCATTAATTACATTAAGAAGAAATGTTTGCTCATTCTAATTTAATTTATTTCAAATTCATTAACCCGAAACCAAACAAGATCAAAAACATATTATTGCAAAAGCGTTGATGGTTTATTTAGTTAGATAACGTTTAGATGATTAAACAGACGC